ACACCATCTTCATGATTGTTGATATGTTTGGTCTGACAAAGATATGAAAAGTGAAGATTTAAAAAAAAAAAAAGAATGAGAAGTTGCAACATAAAATACTTGAAACCCTTGGTGGCTAAGAACTTTCCAGCCCTGACAAGACATGAGTCCTCAGACTATAAACACAGAAGTACAAATAAGTATAAATCCATGTCTAGACACATGATATTGAATTGGCAGAATGGCAGGATAAAGAAAAATTATAAAAGATCACCTACAAAGGACTGACAAACTAAAGACTAAGGGATAATATTATTTTTAAAATGTTTAAGACAAGATAAGTTTAGAAATTCTGTACCTCAATAAACTGTCATTCAAGAGTGAGGTCAAAATGAAGGTATTTTCAGACATACAAAGACAAGTCATTTAGCACTCAGACCTTTGCTAAAAGAACTACCAAAGTGTTTAGTTAAGCGAGAAGGAGTGTAATGTTTACTTTGGTGAGTAGCATCTAGGGTCTTAAAAGCTTGTGAGCAGCCATCTAAGATACATCTATTGATCCCATCCTGTCCAGAGCAACAGAGAATGAGGAAAACCAAAGAAACCAAGGAAAATATTAGTCTCAAGGACTGATAGACCTCATGAACCACAGCCTCCACCAGTCTGAGCCTAGAAGAATTAGGTGGTACCCAGCTACCACCACTAACTGCTCTGACAGGGATCACAATAGAGGATCCCAGACACAGCAGGAGGAAAATGTAGAACAAAATTCAAATACACACACACACAAAAACACCAGATTACTCATCTGACAGAGACTGGAGGAACTCCCAAGACCCTGACCCTGGACACCCTGCTAACTCATAACTGAAGCCACTCCCAAAGTCCCCTTTCTTCCAAAAATTAGAGAAGCCTATAAAACAAACAATAAACACATGTGAAGAACGTGCTTCTTAGTTCAACCAAGTATACAAGACCAAATGGGCAACACCTGCCCAAAAGCAAAGACAAGAAGGCAGGAAGGGACAGGAAAACTGGACAAATGGATACAGGGAACCCGGGATGGAAAGGGAAAGAGGGAGAGTGCTGACACAACACAGGGATTGCAACCAATGTCACAAAACAATCTGTGTATAAATTTTTAAATGAGAAACTAATTTGCACTGTAAACTTTCACCTAAAGCACAATAAAATGTTTTTAAAAAGTGTAATGTAGAAAGCAATGGTGAGCAAAGAAATTAGTAAGATATATTAGAAAACAGAAACAACTATAGATTTGGAGAAGAAAAACAATTTCTTTGTGAAAACAGACTCAAAGCTAGGAAATGATTACCACAAAATTCTAAGGGGTACGGGGGAGTCCTGACTGGGAGGGCTGCATAGAGAGAGGTGTTTAGGCAGTTGAAAAACAATTGTATGTCTTGACTTGGGTGGTGGCTCCATAGCTGTTTGTTTGATACTTATTCATTGAATTGAACATGTTTTATGTACCTTTCTGAATGTATATCTCATGTATCTATGGAGTATTAAAGACTAAATTATAAAAAGCCTATAAATGCATTGGAGTTTGGAAGAGGAGAAAAAGGGCTCCAATTATGGAAGCATTCATGGAAAAGGTATATTTCGAACTTGAACCTGAACACCAAATAATCATTACATAAATGAAAGCTGTTTTCTTCTAAGCCAGAAGATGAAAAGAGAGCATTTGTGGTGTGGTTTAAGACTTGAGTGAAGTTTTGTTTTGTTTTGCTTTATTCTTAATAGAAAGGAAAGCTATTCTCACTGAGGGAGGGCTTAAGTTAAGTGAAGTCACTATTGACCCTCCCAGTGCCTCACTTGACACATTTTCACTTAGTCACCCAGGCTGTCCATTTTACCTCCCCTTTTTGTGCAAAGACAATCATCTTTTTCCTCCTGTGAGCCTTTGCAAATGGCTGGAATAATCTTTATCAGCGGCACCACCCCCCAAGTCATAGTTCCTGGGGGGTATCCATGACATTTTGTTAGGACCTTGACATAAGAAAAATGATTTGCAGAGCAAGATATGATTTAATTTTTGTAAAATTAAATGATAAAAGAAGCCCATTTGTGTATGTCAGTGTGTGTTGTTGTAGCACCGAAGTCTTTCCCTTGGATTATTCCAACTGACTGACTTCCTGATCCTTTGCACCTCAGCCAGAGTGATCTTTTAAAAACATAAGTGAGGTAAAAAAAATTTACCGCCCACACTGAAGACCACACTCCTTACCCTGAATGGTTCTTTCCTTGGCATAATAAAGGAAGGACTGTTTGGCTCCCACAACTGAGAATGTTAGGGGTAGGACTTGTTTCAGTTAGGGCTGGATCCAGGTGCTCCCCTAATGGCTCTGTTTTCCTCTGTTTGGGCTCCATTCCCTGGCTGACTCTCTACATGATAGCAAAGGAACCATTACAACTCCAAACATTTGTCACTCCTTCAGCTGATCCCCAAGACAAGAAACCATCTTTTTACTGAGAGCTCCAGCAAAGCCCTGTGGATGCTTTCAGTTGGCCTGGCTGGGGTCACATGCCCCGTGGTGGTGGAGTATAAGATGCTATCACTAGCCAGCACTGAGACATGTACTCATCCTGAAAGTGTAAGCTATGCTGCCTTGACTTTCTTCTTTTTTTTGGTAACAACTCTATTGAGATATGTTTCACATACCATATAATACTCATTTAAGTATACAATTCATTTGTTTTTAGTATATTCACAGAGTTGTACAACCATCACCACAGTCCATTTTAGAACATTCTCATCAGAAAGAAACCCCATACTCATTAGCTTACTTTGGACATGTTATCAGGAAAGACCAATCTCTAGCAAAGTGCATCAAGTGCATCATGTTTGGTAAAGTAGAGAGTCAGCAAAAATGAGGGAAGCCCTCAATAAGATGAATTGACACAATAATGGACTCGAACATACCAACAATCATGAAGATGGTGCAGGACTGGGCAACATTTCATTCGGTTATACATAAGGTCTCCATGAGTCAGAGCCAGCTCTACAACGATACCACCACCACCCATTACCAGTTACTCCTCGTCCCTATCCCAACCACCACCACTGGGCCCTAGGCAACCACTAATCTACTTCCTTTCTGTATGTTGTTGTTGTTAGGTGCCGTTAAGTCGGTTCCAACTCATAGCAACCCTATGTCAAGAGAATGAAACAGTGCCTGGTCCTGCACCATCCTCACAAGCGTCGTTATGCTTGAGCCCATTGTTGCAGCCACTGTGTCAGTCCATCTCCTTGAGGGTCTTCCTCTTTTTCACTGACCCTGTATTCTACCTAGCATGATGTCCTTCTCCAGGGACTGGTCCCTCCTGATAATGTGACCAAAGTACGTGAGACAAAGTCTCACCATCCTTGCTTCTAATGAGCATTCTAGCTGTACTTCTTCCAAGACAGATTTGTTTGTTCTTCTGGTAGTCCATGGTATATTCAATATTCTTTGCCAACACCGTAATTCCAAGGCATCAGTTCTTCTTCAGTCTTCTTATTCATTGTCCAGCTTTCATATGCCTATGAGGCGATTGAAAACACCATGGCTTGGGTCAGGTGCACCTCAGTCTTTAAAGTGACATCTTTGCTTTTGAACACTTTAAAGGGATCTTTTGCAGCAGATTTGCCCAATGCAATCCGTCTTTTGATTTCTTGACTGCTGCTTCCATGGGCATTGATTGTAGATCCAAGTAAACTGAAATCCTTGACAACTTCAATCTTTTCTCCCTTTATCATGATGTTGCTTATTGGTCCAATTATGAGGATTTTTGTTTTATGTTGAGGTATAATTCGTGCTGAAGGCTGTGGTCTTTGATCTTCATCAGTAAGTGCTTCAAGTCCTCTTCACTTTCAGCAAGCAAGGTTGTGATGTTTGCATATTGTAGGTTGTTAATGAGCCTTCCTCCAATCCTGATGCCATGTTCTTCATATAGTCCAGCTTCTCACATTAGTTGCGCAGCATACAGATTGAATAAATACGGTGAAAGGATACAACCCTGACACACATCTTTCCTGACTTTAAACCACACAGTATCCCCTTGTTCTGTTCAAGTGACTGTCTCTTGGTCTATGTGCAGGTTCCTCATGAGCACAATTAAGTGTTCTGGAATTCCCATTCTTTGCAATGTTATCAATAATTTGTTATGATCCACACAGTCGGATGCCTTTGCATAGTCAGTAAAACACAGGTAAACATCTTTCTGGTATTCTCTGCTTTCAGCAGTGACCCATCTGACATCAGCTATGATATACCTTGTTCCACCTCCTCTTCTGAATCCAGCTTGAATTTCTGGTAGTTCCTTGTCAATGTACTGCTACAACCGCTTTTGAATGATCTGCAAAATTTTACTTGTGTGTGGTATTAATGATATTGTTCTATAATTTCTGCATTCTCTTGCATCGTCTTTCTTTGCAATGGGTACAAATATGGATCTTTTTCTATATAGAGTTGCCTATTTTGGACTTTTCCTATAAATGGGATCAAACAATATATGATCCTTCATCTCTGTCTTCTTTCACTTAGTATAATGATTTCAAGGTTCATCCATGTTGTAGCCTGTTACCTTGGCTTTTAAGGCTCTAGAAGACACTAAATGCCCTGGCTCCCATCCACCTTTGTCTTCATATCGTGCTGCTGTCTTCCTCACCTGCTGTGTTTCACTGTAAGCGTGTAGCTGCTTAGAGCCTTTAGATCAGAGGCAGAAGGTGAATGCAGACCAATGAAAATACTGAACTGATTAAGAAGTTGGATCTGGGTAATGCATTTGTTATTTCCATGTTTCACAATAAAGTTAACATTATGAAGAACAGTGCTTCCAACAGACTAAATAACTGTGAGTTTATCTTTGGTTAAAAAAGGCCCTGGGTTTTCCAGGATAATCCCAGTTGTGAAACGCCTGGCCCACGCTCCCTTCAGGCACACTTGTGAGATGTTATGGCCCACGTTTTTGGTTTGGAAGATACAATCACTACCGTTGTTCTCTCCCCAACCCTCCAGGAAAGCGAAGAGGAACTTTACTCTTCCTGTCGCCAGCTTCGGAGGCGGCAAGAAGAGCTGAACAACCAGCTTTTTTTGTACGACACACACCAGAACTTGCGCAACACCAACCGGGACCGGGACGCCCTGGTTAGGGAGTTCAATGTCAACGAGAACCAGCTCCAGCTGTACCAGGAGAAGTGCAACCGGAGGTGGGTCTGCTCCTCCCCCCACCTACAAATCCTTGGGGTCTCACAATGACATTGGGCACCCCGGGCCAGGCTTCTGCAAAGCTTCTGAGTTGATTTCTATGGAAATTCTTTTCTGTAAATTAACTTACAGTAATAATGTGAGCATCTGCAACTTCTCTAAGTAGAACTGTCATCACTAGCAGGGCACATCGATATAATCGTGAAAATAAACGATGACTATTACCTATTAGGAGCCCTGGTGGCACAGTGGTTAAGAGCTTGGCTGCTGACCAAAAGGTCAGCAGTTCAAATCCACCAGCTGCCCCTTGGAAATTCTGTGGGGCAGTTCTACTCTGTCCTGTAGGGTCACTATGAGTCAGAATTGACTTGATGGCAATGGGTTTGGTTATTACTTATCAATGCGCCCCTACTGAGTTTCCGAGAATGTGTAAGGCCATTGGTTCTAAATCAGCAGATTCACCCCACAAGAGATGCTTCTGGTTGTGCCACAGGTACGTGCTGGTTGACAGCTTCAACCACCTAGTGTCCTACAATGTTCTGGACAGTCCCATGCAGCAAAGAATTATCCCAGCAGAAATGCCAGTGGCATTCTCTGATGAGAAGCACTGTGCTGAGTTCCTTACTGATATTATTCTTACTGAATCTTTACTTGTGGAGACTGGGTGGTGCAAACAGTTAAGCACTCGGCTGCTAACTGAAAGGTTGGCGGTTCGAACCCACCCAGAGGTGCCTCAGAAGACAGACCTGTTGATCTGCTTCTGAAAGGTCACAGCCATGAAAACCCTATGGAGTTCTAATCTTTACTTCAGCCTACTGGGTAGACATTACCCTATTTTACCAATGAGGGAATTGAGACTCAGAGAAATTAAATATCTTGCCAGGAGCCCACCACCCTGACTCTCAGCACTGTGCCTTGCAGCCAGGAATGCCCCTCAAATGTGTGGATAAAGAAGCATTACAGAGCTCAGCACATCGCCTGTTTCTTATGCATAGTTGGTGATAGTGCAATGTGTTTTGTTACAGGTTGAGAGAGAAGAGAGTCAGCAATAGCAAGTTTTACTCATAGAAGCCGGGGTACATGTGTGTGTTTGCATGTAAGAAAATGTACTCTACTCAGACCATCCTCTCCAAGCCTGCCATCAAGGTGACATTTCCAAAGAAGACCCAACTGGCATGCGTTGGGATGATTTTCCTGCTAACTTTTTCATCTTGGACAACTTTCTTAACTTATGTTCTCCATAGGGGCCCTATAGAGGGTCCCTAAAATGTGTTGCTCATTTTGGGCCTCTTGTGTTCCAAACCTCATTGAATAAAAGCAATGAAAATCTCAGTAAGTTAAATCTTCTGTGCCTGACCTATATACTGAGCAAGATTCTGCCTCTAACGACCCAGGTAATTAACTGACTTCCGCAGAAGAGGATCCTGAAATGGAAGGAACTAATTTATTAGATTCTGGAAAGGATTTTTACTAAAAGGCAAACGATTCCACAATTAAGGCCATCGGATTCCACAAGGGCCCAAAGAGGAGCCCTGCCCCAGGTCAGCAGGCTCAGCTCAATGCACTTAACTACCACCAGCAGGCTGGCTGGCTAGACTGACCTCCTGCGTGGACCTGCCACAGTACATGAGAGGCAGTTAGCTGACAGACTCTCTGGTCATTAAGATAATTTCTGAATATCCTCTGCCTAGCTTAATTGATGGTAGACAACTGCTTCCTGACTGGGGTTGTTGGGGAAGGGGGTGGAAATCTTGGGGCCTCTTTGTTTACAAATGCCTGTCAGAGAGACCAGGTGTTTCTGAAGGCTCAGCCAGCTCATTCCTGGCTCTGCCTCACTCATCACCCTGGGGCTCCAGGCACGTGAGACCCCTGGGAACGCTTCCAGTCTGCTGCCTTCCACAAAGAGGTAGTTCACTGGTTTAAAGAGGTAGATGAAAACTGGGCTTCATGGGGAACTTCTCTGGGTTGCCCAGCTTTCAGGGGCAGAGAGCTAAGCCTCAGTGGTTTAAGCATTAGGAAGCTACAGAAAATCTCAGATGCAGCCCTCCCCAAAGGGTAAACCATCCAGTTGGCTCTTTACCTTGAGCTATAGCTTCAGCTGATTTAAGAAGGCTTTTTAAAGGAGAGGATAGTGTTGGGAGGGTGGTCAGTGGAGTCACAACTTCTCACTCAGAGTGACTCAAGAACTGAAGTGGGGGAAAGGTGTAACTGGGGAGACAGTGATTCCAGTGCAGAGGAACAAACCAGCTGTGAGCAGAGTGGCTTCACTTGGATCGAACTGGGTCTGAGAAGCCTTTTCACCCTTCCCTTGATTATCCTAAATGCTGAGCTTAGCATGTGCAGTACTGTTGTAGAGAAGATGCGAACAAACCAGACTCTGGCTAGTCAAAAGATGATCCTTCAGGTCACAAAGACTCACTAAGCATTGTCATATGCCAGGCTCTGTGCCAGGGACTAAGCATAAAGTGTTTAAAAAAAAAAAAAAAATCCATGGTTACCGATCTCATGGAACATATAGTATAACCTCTGAAAGCCAGAACCTGTGTAAGGCAGAAACCTGTCAGAGAAAGAAAACTCAAATATTTTCCACTAAAAGGAGTGACAGAAAAGTGTTAAGACTGCACCCTGTCAAAGGTGGAAAACTTGGGAGACCTGGAAAAACAAGGCGGTCCCATCATGTTCTGGCTGTCACAGGTTTCACTGTACATATCCATCCACGTGCTCCTTAAAGAAAAGGATTTTACCTTCCCTAAAGCTGGGAGTACAGGTAAAAGAAGTCTGACCACGGTGGCTCTGTGGCATTACTTTAGTTACCCTCTGAATTGGGGGCTGCTATTTTATTTATTTGGCAGTGAACAATGGAGGAAGAGTATTCCTGATGATAGCATTGTTCAAAGCAACTTTGAAAGGATGGATGAAAACGGCACTGAGCTTAAAGCTGGAGGGAAGGAGGTGCAGACTATGTGGCCCGTTAGCTGTTGGCCAGGTGGCCTCTGGAGCCTAATTATTGCATACCACAACTCCCCACACTTTTAGCTCTATCATTGCTTCTACATAGTAGAGCTCAGGTGTTGATGTCTTCACTTCTGCTTTCAGTTTTGAAGCCATTTTCAAGCTAAAATGCTAAGGCCTGTATCCCCTTCGGCTTAAAATCGATATTTTTGCTACTGTCTCAAAGAAATTGAGAAACAGCAGGATAGACAGCAGAAGCTAAGCATCTATTCAGCTGCTCTCGTGTAAAATCCATACCCAGCCACACGTATACTGATAAAGAGTAGGGGTGGGTTATAATAAAATGGTGCAGGGAAGAACCCTCCACCTAAAACTATCTCCTTCTCCTAGGTACTCCAATAACTTGAATCCACCATTAGAAAGTACTTGCTTTGGTTCACCAACCACATTAAGCTGGTTCTGGTGGTGTGAGGGACTTGGCCAATTCCCCTGGGGAAGACACAGTGGGGGAAAGTGAAGGGTACAGATGACATCATTGCTCCTCCCAGAGGCTGCCCACTGCCACGTAATCTAAGTCTAAAATACCTAGCTGAGATGTGCTTATTACCTGACTGTTAAACCACAGTCAATTCAGGCAAAGTAGAATTGTGATACGAACGTTCTAAAAGATGGCAGAAGCACTGTTGGGTCAAAACCATGGCTGTATATGTGCTAGACTGTTTTTGTTCTCCATTTTGCTAAGTATATTATTTGAATATCAGGCATTGCATAGAAAAATAGAGGAGGGAGGGTGGTTAGGTCATTTGAGTTCGGAAATTTAGATTACACAAAGGTAAATAATTTCTCTCCTGTGCGACTTGGATATTCTATCTTGCAGAGTTAAGAAAGGTGTAGAATGTCACATTTCCCGAATTTAATCTTAGAATCTTTTTTGCCAAGAAGCAGCCCATGGGACAAGCGTATAGTAGAAAACATTTGAGGACCTGCTGTTCTAATTAAAAGCCAGCCAGGCAGCATAACCTACTAATTTAAATACTTTAGCCATCAAGGGCAGTAGTCTTTAAACTGGGCCACCCTTAGCCCCCGGGTTATGCCGGCACAGCCCAAGGGGCCTCTGGGCTAGAGTAGTTTGAAGGGATCAGTTTTCAAATCTTCCTCTTCCTACAATACTCTTTCCTAAGACTCACCTGCCTGAGAAAATGCCCTTTTTTCATTTTACAAAAGAAAACATATCCTTCCTCATCCTGGGTCGCACCGTAGGGCATGATCCAAGGTGTAAGTGCCCCTGGGGCATCAATTCAAAATACAAGTGTTCAGAAGGTAAAAGACATAATAACAGGGTGTACAATTCCTTTTGTGAGTCTGGTGGTTTCTGATTCTTTGCTTTCAACAAAATTGATAGAGGACTCAGTAGATTTTTGAGGTTTTTAGTATATAACATGGAAGGAGTTCAGAGAATTTAATGATACTGCTATCAGCAGTACCCCTTCCATGCTCATCTACATATTTCTGTGAACTAGGATTATAAGCACTTCCATACATAGAAATCGAAAAGGGAGAAGAGAGTTGATGCTGTACCTTGACTCATTTTAACAACGATATTAATCTACAGATATAGAACTAATTGGGTGGGGGGAATTCTGTTCATGTTATCAGGAGAAACATTTCCAATGAAATTTTGCTATGTTTAATAATTTATTAAAATTTGTGCTATATTTTTTATTGAAGCATGTACTAAAACTCAATCCAGAAGAAACTGATTAAATACCTAAAGCCTTATGATCATAGGATAGTATAATTTTGTTACGTATATACAAGTTAAATGATAAAAAAGGAAAAAATTGTTAGGTTAGTATTTTGAGGGGGAAGTGGAATATAAATACAAATTCAAGGGCTAAAAGGAAAAATGGCAGTTGCTACTATTAAAAATTGCCTCGTTTATGTAGTTTTCGAAAGGATGATCGTGTTTATCAAATAGCTATTATATTTAGAGCCCTTGGCTAAATTTAAAAAGAAATGTAACAGTTTTATTTAAAGATGCAATATCTACAATGTCCCAGAAGTTATATCCTTTGCATCTCTTTATGATGAAAAATTTTCGATGTTGATTTAGAAATATGCAGGGGGATACATAGATGTTCAAAATTCACTTCAGAGGTATCTGAGCATAAAATCTAGGATTACTGATCTAGAGCTGCTAAATGATGACTTGTATTTTGGAAGACGGAGCACTGGTAGTGCAGTGGTTAAAGAGCTCGACCGCTAACCAAAAGATCGGCAGTTTGAATCTACCAGCCGCACCCTGGAAACCCTGTGGGGCAGTTCTCCTCTGTCCTATAGGGTCACGATGAGTTGGAATCGACTCGACAGCAACAGGTTTTTATTGGAAGGCAAGAAGAATGGCTAGAGGGAGCCTCAGTCTTTTAATTTCTTTAAAAGGAATATAATCCTACCTCCAACTTGTGTGGCATTGGACTTTTGGGGGCAACCCTAAAGCCATATTCCAGCCAACGGAAAGTTAACAATTAGGTTCAGAAATATTCAGAATTATAATATTGCCATTTTAAAAATATTTAGTGATTTGTTCTAGGTTTTCAATTTTTGAAATATTTTCTTCAGAGCTACATTCCACAGTCATCCTGTCTCTCAGAGATTTCCACATCTCTTAATTCTTCAGTAGGCTTTTAAAAGCTGCATTTGTAAACTTGTGTTTCATCATTACAGCTTAATTTATTTTTTATATAAATAGCGTGTGCTTGTGTGTACATAGAGCACTATGTGAATGGGTCACATAGGTGGTGGCTGTTGTTAACGTGAGAAATCAGATGGCTGTATCACACTTTAAAAAAATAAAAATTGGGCATGCATGAATACAGCAGTCTGCCCAGAGCTTATTTGCTTGTTTATTTATTTACTTTTAAATGTTACACACTTTTTTTAGGCTCCCAAATAAGGAATACTTTAGTCATGAGATAGATACACTTAAGCAATTCTTTTTTGAAAATGTGTCTTTCTATTCTATTTTTTAAAATGTATTTTTCTATTTATCACTCTTTTTTTCTGCGTTCAGGTCTTTCAGCAAAAACTTACTCGATGTAGAAAACCAAGTTTATAAAATTAATACATGACCGCTTTTCAATTTATAAGTCTTTGGAAGAATGTTTAGAGCTGGAAGGAGCAATGTGGTTATTATTATAAGCATCTGTATTTCCCAGCTAAGTGAAGAGTTTGCCAAAACTGTCAATCACTGTCTTCCTGCCAACAATCCGTGGTGCACAGGAAGCCATGTTGTATATCCTATGACCTCCCCCCACAGATTGGAAGAGTCACCCGGTCCAAAGACTTAAGAACAGTTTATGACAAACTCCCACATGAGAAGATGAACAGGGAGTAGAAAGAAGCAAAGAGGAAATTAAAACTGTTAAAAATAATCATTTTTTTAATGAATAAAATCATAACTCACATAAAGATATAAAATTAACACCTCAAAAAACTTTCATTTAACTCATTAAAAAGGGAACCAGTGTTAACAATGGTGTGATGGTTAAGGTTGTGTGTCAGCTTGGCTGGGCCATGATTCTCAGAGGTTTGGCAGTTATGTAGTGATGTAATTTGGCAGTTATGTAATGTAGTCATCCTCCATGATGTGATCTGGTGTGATCAACCAATCAATTGTCAAGGGAGTTTCCT